GTGGCCACCTGGCCTGAGGACACAGGGACCTTTCTATAGTCTGGGTGGGTCTTTTTTCTTCTTCTTTTTTAAAAATACCACTTCCCCCAATTTCACTAACTGCTTCCAAGACAAATAGACTTAGCTGATCCTGCTGTAGGATAATTAACCTTGAAAGAAAATGGCATTCTGAAAATCACACAAGACTATCATAATTCTACAACGATCATCTAATGCCCAATCAGGATTGACTTTAATAATCAGTACTTGGTTCTTGGTGGCCTAAAGGAGTAAGAGACTTCCCAATATTCAGACACCTGCTCTAGGTGGGGTGTAAGGGGCCCAGAAGGCAGCATCACAGGCCCTCGGCCTCAGCCTCCACACAAGGTCGGCTCTGAGCTGGGGCCACCTTCCAGCAATAGTAACTCCCCTTCATCCCTGTCTCCTGCTTGAGCTCCCCAGCAGCCCAGAGCAGGGGAAGCCACAGTGGTAAGGATGGTCTTTATGTCAGTTGGCCTGAGGTTCCGTGATTTTGTTGTTGCTGTTCAACATCATCAAAATCCTCTTGCCTTTATGAGAGGATTATGAGAGCTCACGAACAGGTAGGAATGAGGAAAGGCTGGGTACTTGCAAACTGACAGGAAATCATGAAGCAGCCACACAGGAATGACATGCTGACTGCTGGGCTGTGTGGAACCATGGCAATGTGGGCTATGGATCTGCTGGCTCCCTAAGCAGGCAGGCTACACATCAGGCTTCACTTTAGTTCCAATCTGCAGAAGTGCTTCCTTCTATATGCTGAGGTCGCAGAGAGGGAAGCATTGGACACCGTGGCTCTGGGGCCACCAAGGTCCTTGGAAGGTCCTCAGTAAGGGCCCCCCACTTCCCATGTAATAGAGGATGCTCCGCAGCCCTGAACATGCACCCTGGGAGGAGCTCCGCTCAGTGAGACACACCAAGGAGGGCTGCTGAGAAGGGTCTGCACGGGGAAGTGGTTCCTGGCTTCACACAGCACTGTTTCATTGCCTCGAAGAGGTCATCTGTACAGTATGACTGAATTCTCAAGGTGGCCTCACCCCAGGAAAAAGCTATGTCTAATGAGATACTCAGAATAACTTTACATGTTCTCCAGAGAAACACACTGTCTGAGGCAAGGCGTAGGGAGGACACCAAAAGCAAACCACTCCCAGCCTGGCTCTGCTCCTGCTTTCTCACCTACATGGCATGTGGTCAGCAGCCTGGTGGGTCCCATGAGCTTGAGTGAAAAGTGAGCCTGTGGGCCACGCCACCCCACAGAATGGGAGTCTGTCTAGGGGCTCTAGGGTTGCTCGGCCCAGAGGCTGTTCTCTGTGGAAGCCACTGGCAGTGTCCCTGGACAAGCACGCACAGCTCCCACACCTATCCTGCTGCCAGAGCATCTGTGATCACATCCCTGTCACCTCCCCTCTGACCTCCCCAAGCCATGCAGTTTGCACCCAAAGCCTTCTCTTGAACCTCACCCACACTGCCATGCCACCTTGGGCTCCACAGTGCTGGTTGGCACAGACTTCGTTTCTGGCCTTACCTATTTCTCCAGGGAGACTTGGTCCTTCTTAAAGTTCAATCTCATTTTACACACACCACACACAACAGTCTTTAAACAGTATCCTTACACAGTGAGGGTCTCTCACAAATGAAAAACCTCATTTTGAAAATATCAAGATTTGGGGAACCAGCAGTTAGCATAATGGCTATGTTGCTGGACTCCCACGTAGTCGACCGCAGTTTGCGTCCTGGACCCGGCGGCTTAAAACTCACACCGGGCGCGTGTGTGTGCGTGCCCAAGATCCTGAGAGGAGAATGGAGGAGAAGGGATTGCAGCATGACCACCCCCCGTGGGGGTTGATTTCTCGCTTTCTGTCTCTATGTCTCTCTCTGTCTGTCTGGCGAGCACGCGCGCCCTATAGCGAAAACCTCTCAAAAAAAAAAATCAAGATTTGATTGTCTTTTTAATGAAACTATAAACCAATAGGTTTCTTTTTAGGTATTCCTGCCTTTAAAAACTGCTTTGGGAAGGAGGAAAACTTAAGAGGACATTGGTACAGGAGGGGCTCCCTGCTCCTGCTCACCTGTGCACGAAGTTGCAGGTGCCGTCGATGGGGTCGATGATCCAGGTTGGGCTGTGGGTGAGTACACACTTGGCCCCAGAGGCTGCGGCCTCTTCAGCAATGAACCTGTGGTGGAGGAACTTAGCCTGAGAAAACGTACCAAGAACATGAAGCAAGGCATCTCAAATTGCTTCTTGTACCATTCAGGAAAAAGGAGGCACAGTAAACAGATTCATTATGATTTCTAAGGGTCAGATGGGTACAGTCTTTGAAAGGCCTCTGCCCATCAATCTGTCACCAGTCTATTTACTCAGTGAGGTTTAGAAAACAGAGTGACACCTCAGTGGCAGAGGTTGAAGACCACTGGGGAATTTGAACATCCAGGCAGAGACACAAGTGCGAAGAGCCTGGGACAGCAGACATTACAGGCAAAGAGTTAGTCTGGAGGAGAGGAGCCGATGAGAGAAGGCAGGAGAACATGAGAACCTCTGCCTGCAGGGTGGGGCCAGGACCCCGGCTTTGGCTCTCCTACTGGCAGAGCTGTGACCTGGGGCACTAAGAAACTCACCTGCAGTTGACACCTCTTAACCTTGCCTCCCCTTACTGCAGACACAGGTAACAAGAGCTCCTGCCACTGGCTATGGGAGCTGCATCTCGGTCTCGCCTGCAGGTGCCCTGCCCCTCTGCCCTCTCTCTCCTGGTCTCCAACTTCCCTTAGGCAGAAGGGGCAGAATAGAGGTCGAAGTCAGGACACTTCCTGCCCAATCTTGCCCTCTGTGTAGCCTATGGAAGTCTCCCCTCCCCATATGTAGTCCTTCCATACCTCTTCTTTGGGAATACAGGCTGCTGTTTTCAGCCATCGACTGTACTCTCCACAGTGGGCCTTGTGCTAGCTCCTCCTCTGGAAAGAAGCACCCCTAAACCATTCCCATGTGGACATACCATCTACTCCCTGTTAGGAACTAGAAGAGACTTGCAACATCTCAAGATTGGCCTGTGCTGGGACCAGCAGTTAGCGTAATGGCTACGTCACTGGACTCTCATGTAGTCGACTGCGTTTCGAGTGCTGGACCCGGTGGTTTAAACTCACGCTGGGCGCTTGCGCGTGAGTGCCCAAGATCCTGAGAGGAGAATGGAAGAGAAGGAATTGCAGCATGGTCATCCCCCTTGGGGGGTGATTTCTCACTTTCTGTCTCTCTGTCTCTCTCTCTTTCTGGTGAGCGCACGCGCCCTACAGCAAAAACCTCTCAAAAATAAAAAGAAGATTGGCCTGTGCAAGAGGGGACTCCTGGTTTCTCCAAGTGGCACCACCATAAACTCAGCTGCTCAGCCCCAAAACTAGGGAAGGTGTCCCCCTTCTGCTCTCCTGCTCTCTCTCCTCCTCCACCCCATCACATGCAGGCTTGGCACAACACGGGGGGGGGGGGGAGCTCTCTCTCGCAGGGGGAAGGGGGGC